AAGTACAATAAATTGCAATTTTTTGCATATCAATATGATGAAAAAATATATCATAAAATATTAGTCAAAGTTCTCATCGTTTGACTCTAAAAAGGAAAATTATGACAATTAAAAGTAGACGGAGGGAGTAAAATATAACAGGAGATGGAAACGCTCAAATCTGCTACATTTAGGAAGTCTTATTATGTTTGGTATATATATAGGTTTTATTTAATTATGAGGTATGTTTTTTCTAAATTATTTCAAAAAAAAAAAAGAAGCTTAAAAATCAATTTATTTATTTTAAAAACATTACATCATTCTTTTTTATACAAAGGAAATATGACAAATAAATTAAAATAAAGGCAATAGCTAACAATCTTAGCTAAAAATAATTCTTTATATTTGATTAGGGAAAAAGAAAATTGTATCTTCTTTTAGGATATCGAAGTAAGTTTACCTATAGCATAGGTTGTAGTGCAATGAGACGTTGGAGGTGCTTCATTGTTAACCAGAAGTCTCAATCCTTAACCAAAAGTCTCAAGTTCGAGCTCTAAATATAGAGAAAATCTCGTTGGAAGCATCATCATAATACACATTTAATCAAAGCTTCTATTAATGCACACCAACTAATTGATTATGACTTCAATTCATTGTACTTGGAGCTGATAAATATGTCCCTCCATACATAGGTTAGTGTGGGTAGATATTCTTTTCCTCTTTTCCCAATACGCAACGAGCTTCATCGAGAGTAGAAAAACTTATCCGTACCCAATGTTTACACCATACTATATTAACTTATTACGACTAATAACAAAATGATGTGAGAATATATATTAACTAGTAAAATTATTCGCGCTTCGCATGGAAATTTAACATCACAGAATTTATAAAATAATACTTAAAATCTATCAGGTATTAAAACTAAAACATTATATTATCTTACATACAAGATTACGTAGTAACACACATTAATAATATAAAGGAAAATGAAAATTATTACAACTTATCATTTATCCTTAATAACATAAGCATAAATTAATGATTGTATAAATACATACCAGGATCTGTAACATAAGCAATGATGTCAGTGAGCCACTCAACAAAAACAAAGTACACAAATATTTATTTAATTGTGAAGATGAATAAGAAGAAGAGGAGGTTCAGAATTTTCGTTGTTTTAAAATGAGAGGAAACCCCTCTATTTATAGACAACAAAAGGTAGTGTGAATAAATGTTTATTATGCCTTATCAAAAAGGTTACAACTATTTAGAAAAGTTGCAACCTTTCATGAAAGTCACAACTCTTCATTAAAGTCGCATTTCATAAAAATCACAACTTATCATAAAAGGTGAAGGCTAATTTTGGAAATAAATAAATTAACAAGGAATTCTGGTTTGTAGTGACGCCACATAGGCGGGCCTAAGGTTCTCTTATATATATATATGATTAAAACGAGTTAATCGATAAAATTTTAGGTACAAACTCATGTCATGCAATTACTAGTGTGTACAAGCACGTCTTTATTTTATGTGGGGTAGAAATAAGAAGAATGATTACTCATACTAGGGACCATGCACTTAACTCTTGCTGCACTAATTTCAGAACCACTAGGCTCAATTGTATTTCATTTACTAGAATACTCTAGAGATAAGGTCCACGTATATATGACGTTGAGAGGTCACACACACGACTGAATCATGCATATATGGTTAAAACTCGGACATTTTTGCCCGAACCTCAAGCACATATGACTGAAATTCAAGCAATTTTTTTGCATGAACTTTAAACATATACGACCGACTGAAGTTTAGGCGTTTATGTCTGATGTTTCAAATGGGCTCAAATTTGATATACAAGTTTCAAATATCATAAAGAAAACAAATCATAATTATCAATTTGTCAAAACTAACTCATTTTGCAATAATGATGATTCCCAAATGATGTAAGTTTTTCCAACAACATCTACTTGATTTAAACTTAACTTTCATATTCAAGATTCAAGACCACTTCATCAAACTTCTTCAAAGCTTTATACTTCAATTGCTATAGATTCAAAAAAGTTACTATTGAAGAAGAAGAAGTGTGTTTTCTGTGATGTTTGCCAAAACTGTGTACACGTTAAATAATTCGAAAAAAAACTTAGGTACAAACTGAGTACAACATGAAATTTTACCGTACTCTGACCCCCCACCCCCACGCGGGAGTGGGCACAAAGAGGATGGAGCAGAACCATGAAGATCCAAGTAGCTATTCAGGAGGAAGCAAATGACAAATCCAGAAAAAATTGCAAGAGGACTGTAAATCAATTTCAGGAGGTCACTGTCCAGAACAATACAATCAACTAAACATTGTCCCATACCATAAAGAACTAAAGAGATAAAAGATACCAAAATATATACTAAAAGTAAGGTATTTCCCCATATATTCTTTACTCTTTTCTTTTTTATGACTAGGGAACCCACAGTTTTCACTCCTGTGAAATAGCTTACAAACAAATCACACAGGAGAGGTAAACCATTTGAGCCCCCCGTTATGGAAGTCCCAAGCCAAACCATCTGAGCCGGCCCGAAGGGTATATATTCTGAACTTTTATTTGGAAGTAATACTTCCAAATTATCACATTATCATGCAGAAAGATTTCAATATCCAGCAGAATCTGATAAGGATCAAATTATGTTGGGACTTAAAACGCAGTACTAAATCCTCTATGTCTCTCCAACATAGGTTATTGAGGGGAGATCTTTTTTTTTTCTCCTTTGCCGACAATCAATGAGCTTTGTCCAGAAAAAAATACTTACCCGCACCACTGTTCACATGAAGTTATAATGACTTATTGCAGTTTTATGATACATAAATGACTATTCATAATAGGGACCATGCACTTACTCTTGCCAAAGCACTAGTTTCAGGACCACTGGGCTCAATTGTAATTCATTGACTAGTGACAAGTGTACTCTATGGAAAAGGAGTAGGGACGCAGCCCATCATTTCTGAGTTCCAAAGGCAGTTGTTGGTCCCAGACCGATTTTTCAGTCATCAAAAAGAAAAAAACACAAGACTAGCATCTGCATAGTTCAAGTGGAGAACAACATTTACAGAAAAAATCATACTCCATATGTAGACGCTGCCTAATTACAACGTTCTCCCCATCCTAGAGGCATATTAGAGTAGATGATATCCCCAATCATGTTTAGATTGTCCAGTAAATTCCCAAATATGCAACACTACACACAACAGGTAACACTTGCACAGACCCCGTCCCCCTTGAAGGAGTGGGGGTAAAACAAGAAGAAACAAATACATAAATATCTCTCTAAGTAGCTAATAATTTTATTCAGGAGGAAGCAAAAAAGCAAATCCAAAAAATATCTGCAAGTGGCCTATAAATCAATTTTAGGAGGTCACTATCCAGAACAAATGCACATACTTTTTTCACGTCAGACAGAGTAATCAACTTCCCATTGTCCCATAGATTCCTACCACAAAAAACTAAAGAGATAAAAGATATCAAAATCTATACTAAAGGAAGGAATTTCCCCATACATTATGCATTTCTTTGGAGGTAACTTCCAAATTATCATGCACCAAGATTCAATGATCCAGCAGAATGTGAAAAAGATATATGCTCTTTTCAAGATATATATGGTTTAACTTTCACCACTATTGAAAATTTAGATACCGTATATTTCATTTTGTGATACTAATAAAAAGTTAATTCACAAAACAGATACTCCTAATGATAAGCATCTTTCTTGATAATGAAATGTATCTATATAATAAATAAATACAGATCACGATGGCTCGTCCATGTTCCAATGTACTCCATAAAACAAGCACTTGACATGGACACATCTTTCTTGATAACAAGGAGGTCTTCTTTATTTTCTTAAACTCTGTACCAAGTCAAACTAGGTCATTCTTCTTCAAATGGAGGGAGTATAAAATATCTAAAGTTGTGCTAAAAGGTATATGCACACCTTAACTCATTACTTTTACCTATAAATCAAAATTGTCTTTGGGATCAAGGAATTTATGTTGCTCGGACTCTTCAAAAATATTTCCACGTGCGTGTAGGATCCTCCAAAAGTAGTTCATTTTGGGAGGATTTGACACAGATGCAACCAGTGTTCAGAAAGTGAGTGCATCGCTTTAAGCGAAGAAGCGAAGTGAGGGTGAAGCGAGGCATGTGAAAAGAAGTGACCGCTTCTGGGCTTGAAGCGCGATGTGACCAGAAGTGGTGAAGCGAGAAAAGCAACACTTTAATTTTTTTTAAGTAATAAGTAATCGATTTTAAAGAAAAAAAGAGGCATGACTTACCTAGTTCTTCTTCTTCTTACTGGTGCAACTAGCCTAGGATTTTTCTTCTTTTTTCCTACTTTGTTTTTTATTCTGTCTTCCTTTGCCCTGTTAAGCCTTGATTATTTAAATTATATGTTGCTGAATTATTTTTTTCCTCACAGTGATTAAAATATACATTGCTGAATTGTTTTGTTTCTTAACAACGACTAGAATGTTGTTGATTTTTTTCTTAATAGTGATAAAAATATAATGTTAGATTATTTTTCTTAAATCTTATCCGTGATTACAAAATGGCTGACCCGGCATAAGAATATGGGAAAAAAGTTAGTGAGACCAATAGGACAACAGTTGTATGTCTGTTTTGTGATAAGACAACTAAAGGGGAACCTTTTTCTAGTTTTTTAATATGTATTTTTGCTTATATATTTTGTCTCTATTTATTTTGGTCTTTTTTCTTTTAAATTGTGCTTCCCTTCAATGAAGAAAGCACTTCGCTTAAAGCGTGAAGCGGGACCTTGTCGCTTTTTAGCGCTTCACACTCCCCTAAACACTGGATGCAACAACATTTTCAGAGAGTGTGAGCACATAGCAAGCAAGCAAATTTACGTTGTGATTACCAAATATTGTCTTTGGCATATCCCATCAAATAATAATTTCCATATGGTGTGGCTGAATGAATATGAATGGATCAGTGTTATCAAAAGCAAAAAGCACAAAATAAACTCTAAGGTCAGTTTTAAGCGCAAATATTTGAAAATAAATTACAATAAAGTAAAATATGAATTGTTTATGTTGTCTCTCAGAGAGGCGAATTGGAAAGAAAAAAATATGCATTAGAATCTTGATGACCACACTAAAGCGCACATTAAGCAAAGCAAAGCGCTCTACACGTTTTGAGCCTCGCTTCAGGGCATAAGCGCGCCTTTGACAAAACTGGAATGGATAAGCAATAGAGGTATGCACCAACAAATGTCACAGATGGTAGAACATGCAGATTGGTCCTATTATAGTAACTGCAGTTGCGCATGTGTTTAACTGAAAAGTAGCTCCTTCGAGTGATGCTAGTCGTTAGAACACAAAGATGACAGAGCACAGTGCAAAATTCTCTTTGCCACTCATCCCAAGTACTAAAACAAATGTACAGCTGTGGAAACAGGACAACACGTAGGCATTATTTTAAGTCTTAATTTCCTGCTGCTACTTCTGTACGACTGTCCCTCGTAATGTTCTCATATGTGCCAATAAATTTAATTAGCCATCCTAGATAAAAGATCTCAAGAACATTTTACCTCAGAAATGGCTTGGAAACAAACAAGTTGGTCACATTGCTCCAGTCTTCATAGGTGCACCAAGGGTCCACTCCAAGTTCCAAAAGAGAATGTATCTTTACTTGTTGTACAGGAAATGCCTGCTGAAAATATTAGCTACATCTGCTGCTGGGTTTTAGCTCCCACTTCCCTATCTCCATATCAAATGATTCTTCTTGCATGCGAGCATCTGTAAAGAAGCAAATTCTAGGTCATCCGTGTATGCGGACATCTTCCTGGGCCCAGCAATAAGTGATAAATAAAGTTACAGCAACTGCAAATACCTATTCCCCAAAAGGCTACATCCTGATTGGAATTGAGACATTTAGATAAGTAGCTTCTAACATATAAGCAAGATTTCGATAAACAAAAGCATGGTTTAGCAAAGGAAGAAAAAAAATAGCAACTAAAACATGAGTGTCAAAGTGCAACTAATTACACAACTGATGTCGTAAAGAAGCATAAAGAAAACAGAATCAATTGCCTGCATATTATCAAATGGAGCCATTAATCAAAATAAGTGTTGAATCTAATCCCAAGGGTGGGGATTAGCGGTCAATAAAGTGAGATGAAAACCATTGGAGACCAGTGTTCAAATTGCACCAGAAGCAAAAAAAAAACATAGGTGATTTCTTCCCTTCTACCCAAGCTTTACCGGCAGGTATCCCGTGAAAAACGAATCGACATCTCGATGTGATACAATCCTTTCAATTTTTGTTGGGAAAGAACGGTGAAATACTTCAAGTGTGTGTAAGCTGACAAGGACACTACCCTTGTCTAAAAATAAATAAAATGAAGTGTTGAACAGCGAGTGCTGAAGAACAAGTGAATCAGCATTACGGAGAATCAAAGCCAGACACTACATTACTATAATTGTGTATAAACAAAAATGTAGAGAAAGAAAATATGGAGGATACTAAATGGGACAATTCCAAATAATAAGAAATCATATGTTGAAGCCACACTGATGTAGTTATCAATCATTTGTTGTAAAGAGGAAAGAAACCACAGATGTTTAGAAGACAAAGCTGACTCTGTACATAACTTGAATTCAAGTGCTTGTACGTAGTAACTATCTGATGTAATCTTCAGAATGTGTATGAAGTGGATACCTAGTGAGATTTCCGACCTCACTACAGGATTAGTAAGGAAAACCTCACTGTGTCAGCCTTTACATACTCCCATCATATCTTATAGCTGGTTTTTGTAATTACAATATTCTTGCTGAGTTATCAGGAAAAAACTTACATTGCTTCTGAGACCCCTATTGGAGAAGTGAATTTAGTCTTTTGTCTATGCCCATTACTCTTACCGGATATGCATATAATTGTACAGATAGTCAAGATGAGTATCCAACATACAGTTCACATCCTTGCCCTCAAAATTGATAAGTGAAAAATTGGGAAGGAAGGAATTATGCTCAAAATAGAAGAACCCATAGCGCCCGCTGCTAGGAAACCCATTAAAAAATGGTGCAATCCCTTTCTGGACTCCTGATTGTCAATTATTAACCCAATTCACAATAACGGAGCAAGAAACTGAGGCAAATATTGTTGCTATAGAAAAGCATTCTCTGATATTGACCAGAAAAAGAGCCCCTTACTCCAGGCAAGTAACCAGGGTTCTATTCCTTCTTCCGTGTTCTTTATTTCTTTGAATAGGTAGGTAAACATTTATCAAAAATAGAGCAGCCTAAAACCATGATAGTGCAAAGGCAGTACACTGGTTAGAAATCCTTTATTACAAAAAACAAAAACAAAAGGAATCCTGCTCTACAAAAACCCATTCCTGTAAAGGTTCTATGAAATTTAGCATGCTATGTTCATCCTTTGTATTATACATATTACACCAACAGCTACAAACATTTGAATTTCAGCATCTGTGTAGTATCTGGCAAGGTAAGATGTCCTTAAGTTCAATACATGGTTTAAGATTGTTTAAGTTCCAATACATGGTTTAAGATTAAGGCACAGTTATTGTGTGTATGACTTACCACCTCCACGAAGAAACATAAGCATTCTACCAGCTGCTTATTACTTCAGCAACTGGAGCTTGGAACTGGTACCTCTTTTACAACAAATATGGATAAGTTGTCTGGGAGTACCATATTTGAATTAATTGCAAAAACTGCTGAATCAACTGATAGAAAGCATAAGGTGTTAGGCATGAATCTTATGAGAAGAATCTTTGAAAGACAGTAACTAATATGAGTGGTATATAATCCCATCCATCAATTTTAGGTGTCGCAGAGTTTGATAAAGTATTTAAAATCAACAGAGGGGGTCGACGTCTTCAAATATCTCTCAGGCTTAACCAGAATTATGGAAAAGATCGCACTTCAGAATTTGTGAGTTGACTGTCACGCTACCCTACACTACTTCCAGTTTCAACAAAAAGAAAGCAGATCTAACGCAAGCAAGATGAATTGTCAGACACTCTATTGACAAAATTTTCAATCAACTTTACCTCTTGCTTCACTTGTTAGAACTCCATAAAGTGGCAGATATGCATAGCTTTGTCAAATGACATGTTCATTGCTTCTCTGGTCACATCTTTGTCTATTTTGCCTCAGAATATTTCACTAATAACCACACATGACAGCATAATAGCATACTTGAATGTCCCAATAGTAACCCCAATATCCAGCTTTCACCTCACCTTTCAACCAAAGCTCGAAACTTTACTCTCCTTTTAAAGCTACCCTTTATCCAATGCCTCAGCTTTCAACCAAAACTCGAAACTTTACTCTCCTTTTAATGCTACCCATCCTGTCATATCCAATGCCAATCTTACTATGCATCAACTTCACTGCCATATCAGCATTCCCTGTCTTCCTCAATGCATTAATCAAAACAGTACGAATTTTTCCAGGAATTTCTCGACCTCTATCCACAATCCCATCAGCTAATTTGCAAGCCTCTTTTATACGACCTGCCTTGCATAGAACATTTATCATATCTTCAAAAGCTGTCTCCAGGATAACACCCATTGGTGCCAGCTCATCCAGTATTTTACATGCTCTTGCCACCTTGCCAGAATGACAAAGCCCGGTTGAAAGGGCTCGAAAAGAAGCAGCATTTGGAGTTATACCCTTATCAATCATCATATGCCACAATTTAAGTGCTTCTTCATTTTGATGTTCTTTAAACATGCCGCTGATCAATATTGTGTATGTATAAACTGTTTCATCACAACCTTCATCTTCCATTCTCTTAAAAAGCACCAAAGCTTCATCGATTTTCCCATTTTTGGCCAAGGCATCGATAAGCGCATTATAACAATAAGAATCACGTGTACATCCCTTCTCAGCCATCTCCTCAAAGAGTTCTCTGGCCTCATCAACTCTCCCTGCCTTTCCTAGACCATCAATAAGACTTGAATAAAACATGGCGTTGATAGCTACATTGTTTTTTTTACAGTACTCAAGCCACTGCATGGCCTCATCCAACCTCTCACTCTTGCATAAACCATTTACAATAACCCCAAATGTTACCTCGTCCGGTTCAAATCCTTCATTCTTCATTCTATCAAAAAGTCTCATAGCTTCATCCAAGTTTCCATGTTTCATGTATGAATCAATTAGAGCAGTATAAATTGACAGATTAGGTCTAATACCTTTCTTGATCATATTTTCAAAAACAGTAAACCCTTCCAAAACCTTCCCCATTTTACAAAACCCTCCAATCACTAACGTATAAGCGTGTGGTGGAATATCCAAGTCCTTTTCCTCCATTTCGTGATAGAGTCCCAAACAAGAGTCAAAATTTCCCTCCGCGTAACACGCTTGCATCAGAGTCATGTAGGTAATCTTGTCAGGCTCCACTTTCCTAACCTCCATATCTCTAAATTTCTCCATTGCTTTTTGAAGCTTCCCAGATCTGCAGTACCCCTTAATCATAGTATTATACGTAACAATATCCGGATTAACTTTCCCGCTTTCCATAACCTCAAAAACGCGTTCAGCAGATTCAATAAACATGGAATTCACCAGTCCATTCATCAAAAAGTTATAGGTATATAAACTAGGCTCAATACCATTTTCTTTCATTTGTCGCCACACAAATAATAATTCTTCAACCATCCCAAGTTCTCCAAAACTCCTAATCAAAGAATTAACAGCTGCCACATTCATCAAGAAACCTTTATGCTTAAATTCACTAAACACATGCTTAATCCTATCCAATTCACGTGAAGCAGATAAAATCTTAACTAAAAACACATAGCATTCACAATTATGAGCATACCCTTTTTGCTTACCAGCCCAATAAAAGAAACGAAACGCGATATCGGGTTTACCTGTAAGGTAATCTGACTTCAACACGTATGCAACAAAACTAGGCGATAATTTAATGAGAAATTTGCAACAATAAACATCTAAATTCTGCTCCATCAATGGTGAATTGTCTAAAAGATTCAAAATTTGAGACACCCATGGCGACGGTTTGAGATCTTTGCGGTCTGTGACTAAGTCAGAAAGGTCAATGAATGGCTGCACCCATTCTGGAGGTGGAAGGTTAGAACCAGTGTATACCCATTTGGGTTTTGAAGTGAAATTTACATAAAAATACGGTTTTTTGGATTTGGGAACTCGAAAAAGAGGAAAATTCACCCATTCTGGAGATGGAATGTTAGAATTAGTGAACACCCATTTGGGTTTTGAAGTGAAATTCAAGTAAATACATTGTTTTTCCGATATGGGTATTCGGAAAAGAGGAATCTTTTTAATGGAATGAGTCTGACTAGAGCGAAATGGATACAGAGGATTGATGTAATCGATCCCAACTTGTTTGAAACTGCGAAGTATTTGATTGAGTGATTGGTTGTGTGAAGGGTGAAAATTTGTTTGTGCCATTGCTGAGGTTAGTGGTGAATCTTGGAGTTGCAGCAATGGCAGAAAGGGGTTTTTTCTCACTTCTCAGTTTGGGGAAGATGAAGATTTTAACAATTTTAATTTCAATTTCAATTAGACATCTTTAACTTATTTAAGTTACTTTCGTTAATATTCTAATTTTAAAAATTAAATAAATAATTGTTTTTGTTTCTCGTCTGGTGTTTGAAGCCCACATTAGAGTTTCGATTAAATTTGAATCACGCATCGCAAGATCTATTCGAAGGTGCACCTCCCAACATAATTTTCTCCATACAGCGCTCAAATCTGAGACCTCTGATTAAGGTGAAGCACTCTCATCGGTTCTTCAAATACTTATTATGACTCGTTACATGTATGATTATCTATGTTAAGTTTGAAAATTTTATTTAAAAAAGAGAAAATACATAATTACCCCATCAAACTTATACCCTTTTTTGAAGTAGACACTTTAAGTTCGTGAAAGTCCTATTACCCCACGAAATTATTTTCAACCACAATAAATACACCATTTTAACATCATCTGCAATCTCATGGCCAGCGAGTGTGTCTCACCTCCAAATAAAATAATATAACTGTATTTTTTCTTGGCTCTTTAATAAAGGGTTGGGTAAAACCCAGACTCGTTCAAAATCTTGACTGATTCCCTTTTTTATCTTAAATATTTTGTACATAAATCACGACGACTAGAGAATTTTAGAAACTCCATTGCAGATGTTTGTACAACTTTTACTGATAGAAGAAGCTCCATCATTGGAGAATTTCATATCATCGATCTATCCGTTATCTAACCCTAAATGGTACGAACGTGCATTAGTCTTTGTAGTCCAAGGTGTATTCTTCAACTCATTCAGATTTGATGTCCCCAAATTAGCTTATCAGATTGTTGGGTACTTAGAGAAAGAAATAGTGAATTTGTAAACAGAGTATTTCGGTTGCTATAGAAAAGGGACTTTTCGAGAACTCGCCAACTCCAGAAGTTCATATGGCATCTTGCATTTATAGATCGAACTATTGAATTGAGAGAAGATAAAAAAAATTTGGCTGAACATGGAGGGCTCTTCAATGGCCATCAGGAGGTTTGTGGAAGATGGAAAATGGTCTATTTAATAAAGAAAATAATTTTTTAATTGGTATGCCACATGGCACTAAAACATTGGCTTAGGGATTAATTTCTACTCTTTCACGCGTCTCTCGAATTTGAGATTGCACATGCTCTGAAAATGGGTTAAAATGGTGTATTTATCATGGTTAAAAATAGTTTCGTGGGGTAATAGGACCCCCGCAAACTTAGGATGTCTATTTCAAAAAATGGTATAAGTTCGATGGGGTAACGATGTATTTCCTCTTTAAAAAAATCAAAGTTAGAGATAAGAGTGTCTACAATAAAACTATTTTGTCATGTGGTTTTTATTTGATAAAAATGTTATAATTTGTGGACAAAAAGGGTTCTATGGTCTAGTGGTTAGGACATTGGACTCTGAATCCAATAGCCCGAGTTCAAGTCTCGGTAGAACCTAAATATTTTTTCCAATTTTTTTGGTGAAACACTATTGCATTTTTTTGCAAATAAATGTACATGAAATACTTATTTAGCATAAGTAGGTACTAGAACTTGTATAAAATTAAATAAATAGACGCACACGTCCTATGTGGCAAACTATACATAGAACATCTTGTAAGATGTGAATTGCTACATAAGACACAACGTGTCCACTTATTTAACTCCATATAAGTTTAAATACCTACTCAAAAGGCATAGATATCCGTTGACGTCATATTAAAGGACATATTTATGGATTAAATTTTGAATCTTAAACTTTTTAAGTAAATAATTTGTACATGATGAATAAATTATTTTCAAAACAAATATATATGTTTGAGCTAAAATTATGGGAAAATGCATAAGTAGCCCCAGCCTATGCCCAAAATTCCTGAAACACACCTAACCTTTACTAAGGTCCTATTACCCCTGAACTTATTTTTTAATTAATTTTCTATTTCGGCCTACGTGGCACTATCCTTGAAAAAATTGTCAACACGCATTGGGCCCACAAGATAGTGCCACGTAGGCCGAAAAGGGGTAGAAAATTAATTAAAAAATAAGTTCAGGGGTAATAGGACCTTAGTAAAGTTAGGTGTGTCTTGGAAATTTTGGGCATAGACCGGAGGTACTTATGCATTTTTCCTAAAATTATTGAGTTCGATTAAATCCGTATTACATTTTCTGGTTTTTTCTAGGAGTAACACCACCCCCCAAATACCTACAAAGCAAATTATTTTTCCCTTTCAAACATTTTTTCTTCTTCTGCAATAACAAACCAATCATGTCAGCACTCAACAATTTTGCTACTCATATCCTCTCTTCTTCCTCAAAAAGATCCCTTCAAGAATCCAGAAAGACTCAAACTTTATCCATCAACTTTTCTCCAACTTTCACCATACAAAATATACCAAAAACCCCATCAAGAATAAGTTTTGTTTGTCCAATAAATGCTGTGACAGAAGATAAAGAAGCAGAGGCCAACCAAGAAAATGAAAAGAAAGAATCAAATGGAACTGAAATTGAAGAAAAAATCAAGAATAGCTTCTTGTCCATTTTGTTGGATAAAGATAGGTTTTTTAATGCTTCAATTGTACTTGGTGCTGGTACACTTGCCATCACAAGGTTACTCACTATAGATCATGAGTATTGGCATGTAAGTTCTATCATTTTGATCTTGTTTGCTTTTGGATATTTCATATCAGGAAGGCAAAAAAAAGGGGGGGGGGGATTATTCAAGTGCCCCCCTTGTGATCAATTCAGAGTTGGAACTAGGATTTGAAGTTTGTGGTCTGAATTTGGGACCGAACCCATAGATTGTGTTTAGCTAGTTAGTGGATTTGTAATTAAATATGTTTGTCTCGTTTTGACTTGACATGGAGTTTGATAAAATAAATAAAACTTTTGAATGTTGTGGTCTTATACTAAAGATATGTAGATTGTATCAAAATGTCTTTCAATCTTGTGGTGTTAAATATGTCACGTAGAAAGAATTAAAGAGTTGATGAAGAAAAGAAAGAGCATTCATTTTGAAATGGACTAAAAAGGAAAGTATGCTAAACAAATTGAAAAGGAAAGATTATATATATTTTATGGATTTTCTGTTCTGTATAAACAAAAGTTACTCTGTTCGTCTGAACCGGGTACATAGTATTGTAGCTTTTCCCCTGGTGATCATAAAGGTAATAGTAGGATTGGGTTTGTCACTGGGATAAATGATGACAAAAGGAATGAACTAAGTTGGATGGTCATTACTGAAGTGATAATTAAGTAAATAGAAGTTTATACTTCATAGCAATTAAAGTTTTTAGATGAAATAGTCACAAAATTCGACATGCTAACAAGGCTGGGTTGAGGTCCAAATCTCACCGCCACCCTTTATCAAAAACAACTTTTGCATCCTTGAACCGTGGAAAGGTCTGGATGTGAGAGCACGAGTTGAAGATATATAATTAAGTAAATAAAAGTGTAGTGTTTCTGACAACTTAATCTTTTTGTTGAAATGATCGCACAATTCAACATATAGCAGCCTGCTCCCCTGTATGGTTTTAATTTTCTTGATTGTGTACTCAGGGATGGACCCTTTACGAGATACTGAGGTATGCCCCGGAGCACAACTGGATTGCATATGAAGAAGCACTGAAAGCAAATCCTGTGTTAGCTAAAATGGCGATTAGTGGTATTGTCTACTCTGTAGGAGACTGGATCGCTCAAGTAAGTACCATCTAAATAGTTACGTGTAGTTATCTTTTAGGTGATTTGATAGTGTAAAACTTTTGTATACCATCAGTTTATGGAAGTTAAACTCTTCCAAAATATTGAGAACTGTTTTCATTAGTCTAAATTGTTTCATTTTGTTCTGTTAATTTACAGTGCTATGAAGGAAAGCCTCTTCTTGAATTTGACCGTACTCGCATGTTTAGATCTGGTCTTGTTGGATTTTCACTTCATGGTTCCCTTTCCCACTACTATTACCAATTTTGTGAGGTGATGCTTCTGGCTTGTATCTTGATTGATCAACCATATATTTTGATGAAACCTAAAAGGTTCAACTCCAATGTACAGGCTCTTTTCCCGTCCAACGATTGGTGGGTGGTTCCAGCTAAAGTTGCTTTTGACCAAACCATTTGGTCAGCAATTTGGAATAGCATCTATTTTGTGGTCCTTGGTTTCTTGCGTCTCGAATCTGCATCCAATATTTTTGGCGAACTGAGAGCCACGTTTTGGCCCATGTTAACAGTAAGGAATTCTTTCGGTCTATCTTAAAATGCTTGCAATAGTTAATGATCTGAAGTTGAATATAGCTATAACCGGGTATTAGCTCAAGATTTTGAGTTGGTTTTCGCTGTTTCAGCAGAAGTTAGTCCATGTTTACTGTTTGATCTGTTAAAATTTGGTTCGATATGAAGCTGAATATATCTTCAATGCCAATATATTGTTGTCTCTTTTTTTTATGATTTATCCTTTTTAGCATTTCCATGAGGTTCTGGAAATTTCAAGAATGATGATACTTATCAGTGCTACTCGAGAGATCTAAGATGGCCTGCATGTTTCTAACGAAGAAAATGTTTCAGCAGCCTAATTTCCATCTTCCAATCCATCAAAAGGAGAAAAGTGAACATTTTTATTACTTAGAAAAGAAAGAAGAAATTGACATCATCAGCACAGAAAGTACTCCATGTCTTTTCGTTTACCTATATTAGTGTGTGAAGCTATTTAAATTTGAAGTTTTGGATCGATATATCATTTCAGATGAACCACAAAACGTTTTGAAACTGTTCTTCTCTTAGACCTTGCGCCGCGCCATTTCAAATGTATTCTATACAGATTATAAGATTACATTCCAAACAGTTATGTGATACTCTGAAATAGTGGTGTCCTTCGAGGTCTATGCCCATCTTCCTTGAACTGTTTATGAATTTTTCTTGAACTGTTATCGATTTGTGGACAATACATTATGAAAAGCTAACATTGCGCACAAGTTGGACTGGACACCGTCAATTAAGAAAGAGATATTTGTATTTGTTCAACTCTTTCACCAACTCATCATAAATTTCTTTTAATACAACTCTTTGTTGTTCTGATACTTGTATAAATTCTAGTTTAGCAGAGATGATTTCTTAGAGAATACTAAATCAGTTCTTAATTCTTTCAGGCAGGGTGGAAACTTTGGCCATTTGCTCACCTAATAACTTATGGCGTTATTCCTCTTGAGCAAAGACTTCTTTGGGTGGACTGTGTCGAACTGGTTTGGGTTACTATTCTCTCAACGTGAGTTTCTGATTCAATTTTACAATTGCTTTCATATAACCAGTGACAAAATTAGTTGTGGAAATTGTTTGTATTCTCATCCTTACCAATATTAAGGACGAACTTACAAGGACATTATATAGACACACCGTAGATGTTGCTTATGTTTCTTTTCAACTTCATCTATGGACATTATATAGACACACCATAGATGTTGCTTGAATTTCTTGTCAACTTCATCTATGGATTAGACAGTCGTCTGGGAAACTATGCATTATTTTACCGGCATAATACATATTTGACACTCAAACTTGGCCTCAGCTGGCAAATAAGCACTCCTACTTTGAGAGTGCACATCTAGACACCTCAACTTAGTCTCAACTCACAGCTAAACGTTCCAACTTGTATCCACTGTGTCTCGTGGACACCTAATGCTGACGTGGTACATAAATTTTGGAGGTGTCTAAATGATCATTTTGTAAGTTGGAGTGTTCAACTGACACAGTATGAATTGAAGTGTCTAGATGTGCATACTCAGAGTTGGAGTGTTCACTTGCCAGTTGCGGCCAAGTTTGAGTGTCTGTGTATTGGATCTTTCTGAAGTAGACTATTTTATTTGTCTTATTTGCCTTATGTATAGACTATCCTCAATGGTGCTGGTGCTGCATTGGATCTTTCTAAAGTAGAAAACCTCTCTAAATAGTGTATGAACAGAATGATGTATCATAGTTGTGTTTGCGGTATCCACCTCCTGTCCATCAGCGGAGGCTTATATTTTGTTTTTGACAAGAGTCTGACATTATAGAACGATTTGCAGATAAATGGCTTTCAGGTTAAGCACTAGAACTTAAGTCAGAACCTTCAATATTTTTCTGTGCTAAGGACTGAGTTTAAACTAGAGAAGGGAAGGGGTGGGAGAGAAGTGAGGACATCCATGAGGTAGAAAATAAGATAACATGAATCTAGAAACAAGAAGTTCACAATTCCGTCGGCCTCCTTGGGATAATTATCAATATCTCTTCCTATCAAAATGAGATTAGGAGGGCGCCCTTTTTAAAGAGCCAGTTTTTTCCCCTCCTTTCCATTTCGATCATTGTTGAAATTTTGCAACGCTAAGTGTCTATACATGTCATATTATATACTCTAGAACATCATAAAAAAAAGGCATATATAGTATCTTCCTGACACTTGAAATTCGTATTTGCAGCTACTCTAATGAGAAATCAGAGGCGCGGATATCTGAAGAATTATCGGAAGCTAAATCTGATTCATCATCGAGTAAATTGCCCGAGGTACTAGTCCAAACTAAACTGCCCTCTTCAATCTTGAAGTTCCCTCACTTTTAATGCACTAAAGCTTATTCTTCTGTTTTCATTTGCAGGATTGATCAAGCTAAACAACTTAAGAGATTCTTAAGTTATATTATCAAGTTATAGTAAATAATTAACCAGCCTTTGAGAAAGCTATTTATTTAGGAAATTAAAAGTGTATATATATAGCTAGCCAGTATGTACTCTCCTTGGCCTTACCCCTTGGTGAGTGGGGGAAAGATATAAAAAGAGGAGTTTAGTGTGTGGAGAGAAACATCATGTAATATAATTCAGTCAAAAACATATCTATCTTGTCTACAAATTTATCTTCTTGTTGTTTTGGCTTCTTGTTATTGCTTCCTTTTTTTCACCTGTTCTTTCGCTGAGGGTTTTCGGAAACAATCTCTCTATTTTCACGAGGCAGGGGTAAGGTTGGTTGCTGCTTTCCTTTTTTACCTGTCGGTTTGCTGAATTGTTACTGCTTTCCTTTTGTCATGTCGGTTAGCGTAGGGTTTTTGGAAACAACCTATCTAGGTTTACAAGGTAGGGGTAAAATGTGCGTACACACTAAACACTACCTCTTCTCATTCAACTAGTGAAATTACACAGATTTGTTATTGTTGTTGTTTGAAGTCAACCAACTTGATTAGTTCGAATTCATGCTGCATAAGGTCATTAAAGGGGAAGTGTTTTCTATCAGAAGTTTTTATTGCTAAGACTCGATTTCGAGATATCTGGTCAAAGATAAAATGAACATATTCAAGCCTCCATGGTCTTATTGTTACTGAGAACAAATATTTGGTCAACTCAACATTGAGGCGCGTTTTGAAGTATGAAAATCGTAAAAAGGCGGGTGATATTTACTCTTGTTATAATTTGTTTGTCTTTACCTTTTTTTTAATCCATAAATATTCTTCATAAATGCAAATTCCAGTAGATCTCTTGGTGTATTTGAGATTATTCTTTTATTGCTGTGATATGGCTATGAAATTTTGAAACTAAATTTATAACTATTATTATCATCTTCATGATCTTGTTAGTTAACCAAATATGAAGGATTGGTCTTATATCCATACTTCAAGCAAGTATCACTTTCTTTTTTTTTTTGCATATTTAATTGAGCTCTGTATTTTTAATGAATTCAATGCTAAGAACCTTAAGCTTAAGATTGAATTCATCAACTAAGAAAAATTTAAATTTTGAGGTGTATTTTGTCTCAAACAAAAATTTACAACTACTATACTAATCCTTTTTCTACCATAACTCTTACTCATAATATACTATATATGTCAAATTAACATCTTAAACTTTCAGCTCAAGGGCAGCTCAGTGCACAAAGTATCTTGAGATGAAGCCAATTTAGTGAACGAAACAAAGCCACAAAAAACAACTTAAACATGCTAAGATAAGCATCGCTTACCCCGTGTATGAAAGTGATCTCTATCAGACCAAGAGTTGGAGGAGGGTGGACATATACACGGTCTAGAATACAACAACAACGCCTCAATCCCAAATAAGTTGGCGTCAGCTATATGAATCCTCTATGTCTAGAATGTTGCAGCAAGAATATATTTGCATGGAATGTAGAGGATGGAACCAATGCTACTTTCTCTATCGACACTTTGAGACGAAAGAATTTGTATATAACAACAATCATAATTGAATAACACAAAGTTAAGGTCCTTGCCTCTCATCGGAAAATCTTGGAAGCTGAACCAGAGAGTTGACTCGCGTAACGCCTTCCAATCCTGACCATTTCTGATCTTCTGTCATTGCGGTTTCTTGATCTGCTTCAGCTACTGCTCGTTTATAGATATCGTTCTCTTCAGCTGATCTGACAGTAGTGTTTCTCTGTAGAGATGGCTCGGAGTTGTGCCCGTCATCCGATTCAGCAGCAATACCAGAATGGTTACTCTGAAGTGCAGCAGATGAGAGACATTGCTCCTCCTCATTGTCAGATTCCAAGTCCATCTTTCCATCCAAGAATAAGCAAACAACAGCACAATCATCCATTTTTGAAGTCGGATATTTGATTTTCCATTCGCGTGCAGCACAGTCAACTAGGATTCTGGCAGCTGATGATCGTGTAGGCGCTGATGACACTATTTCGACCACTTCCTCGTTGCTCAAGACATCCCAAACCTGCAATCAAGAGTTTACATTAAATCACTAGGAGTTCTTTTCCCATGATAATCTTTGTTTCCTCAACTACAACAGCAATAACTATATGGCAATCTTAACCAAGCTAGGTTGGCTATATGTATCCTCACTAATCATGTCGCTCTATTTAAGTTCATCTTAGACTAATATTATACAAAATCAAATAAAAATAGAAAAACTACTAGATGTTCTCTATATTCTCTACCAGTATACACATCTCTAACCGAACTGAAGGACTTATAAAAAACATAAGACCTAAAGAGCAAACGTATTAACATGACTAAAACATATTCCAAACAGCTAATTGGTATCTCCTGTATAGATCTTTTTCTTCCATTGTGTCCTATTTTTGCTAGGTTGCATAGATTTTAAGAGCATGTAGGTCTTTTGAGATAACTTCCTTTCATGTGCTTATAGGTCTATCTCGTTCCATTTTAACACTTTTACTAAACATGGCTTCATACCCACGCGCTGGTACATGTGGAGGTCGATGCATGAGATAGATAAACCATAGGCAGACAATGTAAAAATAAATGTCTCTGAAGCCAATGGTCACAGCCACTTGGAACAGACAGAAGGGTATGAAAGAATTAGAGTAACTATGCCATTAGCCTTAAGGAAACTGAGAGAAGTTCCTATTATCCTTCAAGGTGCGAATAACATGACTAGCACAACTCCATTATGTTAATATTGTAACACTCAATTCGAGCAACTATGTATTAGACTAGTGATGCATTTAACCATAGTGATAAAGAAATCAATAAAAGGTCTTTTGTCATGCTATAACGACTTGGCACACACAAGTTCTTCAAGCTAGCTTCAATTTATAGTTTCTTGTTAAGTACTAAAACAATGTTAATGACTATTATAGCAAGATTGGAGATGCAGAAAGTAACACTAATCAAATCCTCCTCCTCGGCACAGACATAAACACCTACTATTGGATCTTCCAGATGCATGACAACCTAAATGTCTTTCTAATCCCCAAACCTGGAAAGTTACATAATAGACAATCCACCGTAATAGTTTGATGGAATATCTTTTTTCAAGTACTTATGAAGAAAATACTTCACGCCTAACTTCACAAGTGAAAATGAGTGGTTACCAGTCAAAATTGATGCTTGGAACTCACATTGGTAGATTATTGTTAATGAGTACGTAATCTCCAAAATCTTAACAATGGACACAGGAAGCAACAATAAGTGACCGTATATGATTAATCAACTTTCATGTTCATTCATGTAATTTAAGTGACCATTTCAGGCTGGCTTCAGCACTTCTACAAGTTAATTTAAGCTAGCAACTTATATAGAGATTCAGACAGCTTAACATACCCCGTCAGAAGCAAGAACAATGAACTTGTCCCTCTCTGTAAGAACCCGGTGAGAAAATTCTGGTACAGATATTACCCCATAGTCCTTCACACAAAAATCGCCAAATGCTCGAGCCATTGCTAATCCAGGGGCATTATCAAATGGCAACCAAACTCTCTGCACTTCTGGCTCATCTTGCAATGCAAAAACCCGACCTTTACACTGTTTTATCCTCTCAGCTTCCTCTGGCAACGGAAATACTAGATTATCTAATAGGGACTCTGAAATGGTTAAACGTTATGAAAGATTCACTATAAAAGAGACATACTAGGTAAATCAGGCTTCAGATCAACAGTCAACTGGACTGCGACCATCGAATCATTGTCATCCTTTGATGCCAAGATTGCCCGTGAATCACCAATATAGCCCATATAAAGGTTTGAACCCTTAAAACAGAAAAGAACAATAATAAGCTCAGAAATGGAAAAAATAGCATGAGGAAAGTAATGACTAATGTGACTCCACCTACCTGTTTTACTAGAGTAATAGCAGTGCTACCACTGCAAAAGCAATCTAAATTAGGTTGGGACCTCAATTCTTTGTCCATCGCCTTATACGATTGAAGAAAAGCTTCTCTCCGCTGAGTGTCCACTTTATCCGTGTTCACTTGATCCTTATCAGGATCCACAACTTCCGATCCTGGATTCTCATTGCAGCAATCGGCAGCAGAACCATTGCCCTTTGATTCAACTGACTGCAAAAAGGACATTAACTTCAGGGGCAGTGCATCCCTTACTTTGCGAGCAACAAGATGACCATGTGGACCATGGCCATCAAATACCCCACAAAAGGTCACATCTTCCGCCATGAAATCCTACATAGGTACATTCATGTAAAATATCAGATTTTTGAAAGATGCAAAAAGGTAGTTCTATGCATATAAGCATGACTTACTTCCCACACAATCATCGCATCCTGGTTAATGCCTTTACGTCCTTGTTGTGTGTATATGCAAGAAGTGCGGCTCTTGCCATTAGTAAAGATCCGATTGGGAATTGAACTCAGATGCTTCAATGCAATGACATGATCAGAAAAAGTTCTTCTACTCCTTTTTCGGCTAAACATGCTTATTCCTAAACATTCAGGTGAAACTTTTTCTCCATTGCTCCTGCTACTACAAGTACTACTGCTCGTCGACACACAACCCCCCATTTTGCTCAGACTGACAAAGCGACCATCTGATTGACAGCAAAGCTAATAAAATGGATCTCACAGATCAGATTTATGATCAAGCAAAGCAAAACAATGTTGAAATGACAAGATTCCAGCAATGCAAGAAAGGTGCTTTTGGACTTAATGGAGATAACTAAGCTCTCTGTGTCCTTGGTCAAATGTCAATGCAGTCAACTGAAAAAACAGCTAAACAAAAGAAGAAGAAGAAGAAAATATTACTTAATGCAATTGTTTATTTAAAAGTACATAAGAAGATGGAAATGCCAGCAAGTATAGAAACCAGACTAATCAACCAAATCATTGTTTAAAGGGAATTGCATGTGAGCTATGAATATTATACTCCCTCGGTTTCATTTGTTTGTCTTACTTTCCTTTTTAGTCCGTTTCAAAAAAAAAAGTCTCTTTCCTTGTTTTGGCAGCTCTCTAATTCTATCTTTCCACATGACATGTTTATGATCAGAAGATTAAAGAATATTTTGGTACATTTGACATCTCTTTTTGATTTAAGACTACAAGATATTTTCTTAAACTTCATATCAACTATCTCTATTTATACAAGTCAAATTGATAGAAATTATGGACTCATTCATCAATAAAAAGACAATGAAGTTATGAAGACATAAAGCATGGAACTTTGAAAAAACATTAAAAAAGACAAGAAAAACAGGAAACAATATGCCCTCATAAGTTGTCAAGGCTTCACACTTTTCTATAGCTCAATTACCAAAAAATGAGAAGTAAAAAGTCCTAAACATAAGCTCGCATTTGGCCATAGATTTTGAGAGTAGATTTAAAATTTTATCTTCAAATATTTGTCTGACCGTGAAATTTCATCATATTACTTCAAATATTTTCAAGTTCCCAAAAACTAGCTCAAACCAGTTTTCGGACTTTGTTGACTTCCACTCGTAAAACTTCAAATTGAATTTTTTTCAAATAAAATGCATGTCCAAACAAACTTCAAAAACTCAAAATTTTAAGTTTACAACTTTAAAATCTACTGTCAAACGGGAGCTTAAGGAATGCTACTATAAAGAAGAGAAATATAGATTCTGTACACAAATGCAAAATTTTAGCCTTTTCAGATTGGGTAAAAACTAAAGAAAGTGAAAAATGTAAAGATAAAGAAAAGAAAACAGTATCTTTGGGAACACAAAAATGTCAAAAGCTCCAAAAGCAAAGGTACACTAAATTAATCAAAGCATTATAACAAACAAAACAAATACAAATAAATCTAATCTCAGCTACACATCACCAAAACCAAGTTGCTAAAAACCACAAAACAACATAAAATACAAAATCATTCATGGGATTTTACCACATTAAGCAAAAAGAATTGACACCCAAATTGTAAAAACTGGAAAATAGAGCATATAAAAGAGATGAAGGACCACAAAGTAACTTTTAATACAAAATCATTTCTGGGGTTTTGCAGATTAAGCAGAAAGAGTTGACACCCAAATTGTAAAAACTGGTACAGATGAGAAACAAAGGTGAAAAAAGATGAGATTTTTAAACCTAACAAGCAAAATATGAGTGTACACATTGAAAATTTGTGGCTGCAAGATATGTTCAATTTTAGTTGGGATTCTACAAGGTTTATTCGATTTCAGTTAGTATTCTTGGAGGCTATTCAATCATAATCCCTAGTTCATGTCTATATAAAGGGTAATACACATCTCGAATATTCCACAAATTTATGAATATCGAGATCATCCTCGTTCGAGAAATATCCATCTTTTATGACAGAACAATAAGGTAGGAACAAAATTGTACTCACAATCTTGATCAATAAAATTATGTTTCTTTGTATTTTATTTATGATTGCAATTTATTTAGAAATTGAAGAAAATATGGATATATTATTAATAGTAGTACCTTTTGAACTTGGTTCTGCTGAAAATTCAAGATTTCTGAAACTTAGAGATTCAACAATGTAGTTCCAATTAGTATACGAATTCTCTCTTCTTCTTTTTTCTTTTTTTAACAAAATTTTCAAAAAAAGAATGGAGAACAGTAATATAATAATAGTAAGAAGCAAGAGAGCTGGCACATTAATGGCAAAAGTAGAAAGTAGGAGAGATTTTTAGCTCTCAATTTTCTTCACTTTCCAGCAGGAAATTATGATTCAAGCTTCCTCAAATTCCATTTTTGAGGGACTATAACACTTTGTTATTCCGTATTGTTTCATATTATATTGTATTGTTTTATTGAATACAATGTTTGAATAGATTGTATCATTTTTCATCGTTAATTGAATGATGTTACATATCCATAATTTGAATGATAAATCTACAAAAAATTATAGTGTATGGGATAGAGATACTATGAAATGGCATGGTAAATGATAGTAAAATAGAATTATTTTTATAATAAGTAGAGACAAAATGAGAAGAAAATATTAATGTAACGATGCAATACCATTATATATGGGTCGTTACATAAAATGAGTTTTTTCGTTGTTACGTAGCGATGAATTTAAAAGATACGATACAATAGAATTTAAGTAACAATCAAAACAAATATTATATTTAGACTAACAATACAATATAATATAAAGAGTAACAACCATCCAAACAAGGTGTAATACTTCCTTCATTTTAATTTGATACAAAATTTAAGAAAAAATATTATGATTTTAAATTAAAATTATATAGAATATATTAAAATGTTCTTAATCTTATATTTTTTAATATGTCGTATGAAAAGTTATAATTAAAAAGTTATGACATTTGAATTCATGTATTGTAGGATTTATTCTATCTCCGGATCTCATAGCTCTCAATCACTTTATTGATCATCAGGACATACCATGAATGTTGAGTGAAGGATTCTTAATTAATAAAACTTTAAAAAAAAATCCTTTTGAAAAAAACTAATCAAATATAAATATAAATATGATAGAAATGGATATGTGAATTTAGTCATGTAGCAATAATGACCTTCACAAGTATATATTTAATTTTTGGTCCAATTGACAAGTGTATTTTTCTTTTTTTGGGTCCAATTCACATTCACAAGTATATTGTTGTCCAACCACAAACCCCAGAACTACTCTCTATCTATGAGCTGTGTCTATATATTTTCCGTCTCAAATTATTTATCGTTTTAAAAATTTAAAACAAAACTAATTATTTATTTTATTTTATTCTATTCTTAAAATTATTTACTCTTGAGTACTACAATCACTTCGATATAATAAATATTTAATGAAGAAAAAAATTACTCTAATTAACTAAAATATAGTTTTAAAAAAATTTATTTAAGAAATATGTAAAAGAAAAATACAACATATAATTTGACACGAAAAGAGTAATATTAGTGTGACATTGGACAACTTGTAGCTGTCTAGCTGTGGCCATTTCTTGTGTGGACCAAAAAAGATTTTTTTTCCCACTTAATACATTCTTTTTTACGTTATTAAATCATGATAAGTTAAAATAATTTAGTATAAATACTGACAGATAATAAAATTTTTTATCATTGTTATTGTTTTTAGTATAAATTATAGGAACCACATATTATAAGTACTAAATAATATCCTATCCCTTCTAGTTTTCTATTTACCAAAAATCCCTTAAAAATTGATGTTTGCGGGATACATTCCACATAGCGGGATACATAGCATTGTGTACAGGATACATTAGGTTTGATACATTCCACATAGCGTTGTGCACGGGATACATAGGTAAATAAGGAATTTTTGAAAATTTTTATTAATCATTATCTCATAACAATCTCTCCCCGATCCAGAGCCTCAGAGCCGACCCAAGCAAAAACCAACACTTGATGAGTTTTGGGCTTGCTTGGGATAGAAACTTGGAGCGATAAACTCGCTAAATATTACTGAGTCCCCGGAAGAAAAAAAAAGGGTAAAGGGGACTAAATTGTTGGGCTTGCTTGTGACATATTGGACTGGACCAAGTTTTCATGCTTGGGCTAATTTCTTGATTTCCAGTCCAAAAAAATTGATATCCAAACCATTACCTAACATAATCTATAAGACCACTTACTCTTGAAAAACGCCTAATATATAAGGAGGAATTGACACAGACATACAACTACTATATACAATTGGCAACATATAGCCCAATACTAAATAGCAATTAATAGTCCCCAAAAAAAAAAAGCACGTAATAGCCTAAAAGGAATATAACGACTTTTTATAAAAAAAATTTAACCATGTGCAACCAACCAACATTAATTAAGGAGATATGAATTATTTTTTCTTCCTTATTTTTAACTCCTATAATTAAGGAAGTTAGCTTTTCAGTTTTTTAAATTCTCAAACTCAACTTTATTATCACTCTATTTTTCAATAAAAAAATATTAAACATAGTTTACAACAACATAAATATATATTTGATTGTAATTTTATAATTTATTTTTTACCAACCGATAGTAATTAGTTTATTAATTAATGATTGCCTACTTTTAAGAAATGAAAAAAAATATTAATTAACCCATTAAAAAAAGGTTATATCAACTTTTAAGGAAGGATTTTTTTAATTCTTTAATTAACTTATCAAAAGACGGAGACTACTTTTAAGGTAAAATATATATATTATTAGTGCTCAATTAACGTGTATTAATTATCAAATAATTGACAATAATTAATCAAATAATATAAGAGGCAATGTTTTTTATTAGAAACTGTAATAACACGTATGCAAAAATTTTACAATAATTGAAGTTGCAATTACATAATGTATACATAAAAAAAATATATGTATACACAAAAAATCATCCATAAAAATAGGCGTGTAAATTTTATTGATGTATACAATAATTGTAGCATGTATACATAAACTTATAATGTATACATAAGAATATTACCAACAATTATAGGTTATAACTATAATGAATATAAGAATGAAGTTAATATGATAAATGTACAAATTAAATTTTATTCATAATTGTACATGTGATTTTTGTTGTGTATACGGTAACTGCACTATGTATACATTGGTTCGTATTCATTTATGTATTCATTGGTCTGTATTCACCTAATAAATTTGTATACATTTATTCAAATTGAGATTGACATTTATTGGTATACATTGGTTTGTATTATCAAAATCAACCTTCTAATTTTTTACGAGGATCTTATGAGAACATTTATTACTCATGAAATTGAAAACAAAAATTCAAATACTATAACCTAAATTTTTGCCAAAAAATAGTTTAAATTTTTTTAATTTCACATATCACGAAATTTCAAAATTAAGTGGGAAAAAACACTACATAATTATATATTAAAAGAAGATTTTGAGAGGAAGTAAATTAAGGAGAATAAGAAAAAAATTAGAAGAGCAACAAATATATATGAAAAAGATTTTAGAATGAAAATAAAAAAAAGGATTACTAACCTAAATTTTTGCAAAAACAAAATTGAAAAAACTTCAATTCCACAAATCATGAAATTCAACAATTAATTGGACAAGAACAAAATTATATATAAAAGATTATTATTAGAAGTATCCATGAATAAACATATTGTTATATCTGATTTTCATAAACAAAGTGAATTAAGGAGAAGAATAGAAAATTTGGGAGAGAAACAAATATACGTATAAAAAGAATTCTAGAAAGAAAATAAAGGAGACAAAAAAGAGAAGAAATCTATTTTAAAATGGTTGACAAACAAAAAGGAGAGATAAAAAAGAAATAATAAAACAATAAATTTTACCTTTTCAAGAAAAAAAAGGAGCAATCAAACGTGTTTAGAGAAAAATAAGGGGATCCAAAATACATTTTTTAAGAAAAGAAAAAAGCAAAATAACTATTGAATGCCAAATAAATAAAAGAAAGTCCTTTTTTTGCCAATAAATTAAAAATGAACTATTTTTTGCCAATTTAGACTATAGGTTATCATATTGTGCCATTTATTCAATAATTAATGAGTTCAATCCATTCTGTTTAACAAAAATATGAATATTCCTTGCTCATTCGCAATGGAAAAATTAATTTTTATCATCCAACCCATGAATCATCATTTC